CTGCACACACGCGGCAGGACCCATTTCCTCCTCTTCCTCTCTTCTCCTTCTCCTCCTCATTTCCTGTCCATTTCGCCCACTGCCTCCGTCTTCATTCCGCCTTCCTCCTCCTCTTCCTCCTCCTCCTCCTCCTCCTCCTCCTCTTCCTCCTTATCAGCATCATCACCAAAACCATCGCCGTCATCAGCATAATCAGCATCTTCAGAATGAGAATCACCATCATCATCATCATCATCATCATCATCATCATCATCATCAGCAGCAGCAGCAGCAGCATCAGAATCATCATCATCATCATCATCATCATCAGCAGCAGCAGCAACATCATCACCATAACCATCATCATCATCATCATCATCATCATCCTCATCATCATCGTCATCATCATCATCATCATCATCATCATCATCATGGTCATCATCATCAGCAGCAGCATCATCATTATAATCAGCATCGACATCATCAACATCGTCATCGACAGTATCATCACCATCAGCATCATCATCATGATCCGCAGCATCATCATCATCATCATCATCATCGTCAGCAGCATCGTCAGCAGCATCAGCATCATCATCATCCTCATCATCATCGTCATCATCATCAGCATCATTATCATACTCAGCATCATCATCACCATCATCAGCAGCATCAGCATCGGTATCATCGTCATCGTCATCAGCATCATCATTACCAACATCAACATCATCATCGTCATCATCATCATCAGCAGCTTCATTATCATCATCATCTCCATCACCATCAGCATCGTCATCAGCAGCATCATCATCATCATCGTCATCATCATCAGCATCATCATTCACATCAGCGTCAGCATCATCATCATCGTCATCGTCATCGTCATCATCACCATCATCAGCATCATCATCATGATTAGCATCATCATCATCATCATCATCATCATCATCATCGTCGTCGTCATCAGCATCATCAGCATCATGATTATCGTCACCATCATCGTCATCAGCATCATAATCGTCGTCAGCATCAGCATCAGCAGCATCATTATGTTCTTAATCGTTCTCCGCATCATCAAAATTATGATCATCATCCGCCTCCGCCTATGCCTCCTTCTCCTTCTCATTCATCATCCTTCCTCCTCTTTCATCCTCACCCATCCTCCCTAGCAATTCCCTTGCCCCATTATCCTACTGCCTCCGTCATCCTTCCGCCTTCCTCCTCCTCCTCCTCCTTCTCCTCATCCTCCTTCTCCTCCTACTACGCCTGCTCTTCCTTCTCCTCCACCTCCTCCTCCTCCTCATCATTCCTTCCTCCTCCTCCGCCTCCTCCTCATCATCATCACCATCATCATCATCAGCATCATCACCATCATCATCATCATCATCATCATCATCAGCATCATCATCATCATCATCATCATCATCATCATCATCATCATCATCATCATCATCATCATCATCATCGCCATCATCATCAACATCAGCATCGCCATCATCATCATCGTCGTCTTCATCATAATCATCATCAGTATAGTCGGCATCAGAATCAAGATCATCATCAGCATCAGCATCAGCATCATCGTCGTCATCATCATCCGCAGCATCATCATCATCGTCATCATCATCAGCATCATAATCATCAGCATGATCAGCAGCATAGTCGACATCAGCATCAATATCATCATTATCATCAGCAGCAGCATCGTCGTCATCATACTCAGCATCATCAGCAGCATCAGTATCATTATCACCACCAGTATCAGTATCAGTATCAGCATCACCATCCTTATCATCATCATCATCAGCATCATCATCATCATCATCATCAGCAGCATCATCATCATCATCCGCCTCAGCCTATGCCTCCTCCTACTTCTCATTCATCATCCTTCCTCCTCCTTCATCCTCCCCCGCCCTTCCTCTCCCATCCCTGCTCCTTCCCCCCTCCCTTTTCATCCACCTCCTTTTGCTGCTCAACATCCTCCTCCTTCTCCTCATTCTCCTCCTCCAATCCTTCTGCTCCTGCTTTCCCTCCTTCCGCCTTCCTCTTTCCTCCTCCGCCTCCTTCTCCTCCCCCCTTCCTGCCCTGATGCATCGCGCGCGTTCTCTGGCCTCCCGCAATCCTGCTGGGAGCCCAAGCGAAGGCTCCATTAAACCAGCAGCTCTGACAAAAGAGCACTCTTGCAGTGGACGGCGTGGCCCTCTTCTGCCTCCACGTCGGGACTGTCACTCCAAGGGTGACCTGCTCAAGATCAGCGCCCAGACCAATCATGAAGCGCGTCTTTCAACGATTCGCAGTGACGCCTGTTACCAGGGATGCCCCCCCATTCCCAGACGGCGCCGACGCGAATCGTGACATTACCAGTCCTGTCCCCCCTCCCCCACTGGTGACGGCCGTTGTTGCGAGGCGCGAGAAGATACAAAACGCAAGCAACCACAACAACAACAACAACAACAACAACAACAACAACAATTACTAGCACGTGGGGACACACCGTTCTCACCAGTGCCAGGGTTTTCATTGGAGGCGGGCAATACCCCCACTTTGTGGGGGGGCCGGTTCAAGCTCTACCAAATTTCCAAACGACTCTTCGCCACCACCCACACCCAGCTTCCCGCCCTATGACGTTCGGACACTTCACTTCGTGGCATGCGGACGACCGTGGCTACTATTCAGGGCCCCGCGGCCGACGACGACGGCGTGCGCGCGCGAAGAAAAAACGAATGTGTCCCGCATGGTATTATTTGACAGGGATGATGGCCCTGGCAGGTGCGCAACCGTTGTTGCAGAAGTTCGAAAAAGTTGCTCGCAAAAGCCCGTTTGACAGAAATGTTTAAAAAGTGTTGGGTTTCCTACGAATCCGCAAGAGCGCGCGGGATGAGATTTTGACATTTTTTTGTTGAAAAACCATTGGTTTTTTGATGTTTTTATGTTAAAATCGCTACGAAAACTAAGGTTTTGGAAGGATTTCGTCTTGCGCGCGCGAATGTCCACTTTACCTTATTTTTTGCAAGGGATTCTTGAAGTTTGGTTATGTTAGAACAAGAAATGTCCATTTTTAGTTATTTTTTGCAAGGGAAAACCGATCAACAAAACAACCGGATCCGGACCAACCCGTTTTGCCTGAGACTTCCTCACGAAAATGATGAAAATGTGGCTGCGGCCTAGGCGCGGCGGGGGGGCGTGCACCAGGGGGCCCAACAATAATTATTCTTTAGAATTAATAATGTTCAACAACAACAACAACAACAACAACAATTACTAGCACGTGGGGACACTCCGTTCTCACCAGTGCCAGGGTTTTCATAGGAGGCGGGCAATACCCCCACTTTGTGGGGGGGCCGGTTCAAGCTCTACCAAATTTCCAAACGACTCTTCGCCACCACCCACACCCAGCTTCCCGCCCTATGACGTTCGGACACTTCACTTCGTGGCATGCGGACGACCGTGGCTACTATTCAGGGCCCCGCGGCCGACGACGACGGCGTGCGCGCGCGAAGAAAAAACGAATGTGTCCAATATGGTATTATTTGACAGGGATGATGGCCCTGGCATGCGCGCAACCGTTGTTGCAGAAGTTCGAAGCACGTGAAAAAGTTGCTCGCAAGAGCCCGTTTGACAGAAATGTTGAAAAAATATTGGGTTTCCTCAGAAATCCGCAAGAGCGCGCAAGATGAATTTTTGAAACTTTTTTTTTGAAAAACCATTGGGTTTTTCATGTTTTTATGTTAAAATCGCTACGAAAACTAAGGTTTTGGAAGGATTTCGTCTTGCGCGCGCGAGTGTGCACTTCGTGTCATTTTTTGCAAAGGATTCTTGAAGCTTGGTTATGTTAGAACAAGAAATGTCATTTATTATTTTTTGCAAGGGAAAGCGGGGGACAACAAAACAACCGGATCCGGACACCCCGTTTTGCCTGAGGCTTCCTCACGAAAATGATGAAAATGTAGCTGCGGCCTAGGCGGCGCAGGGGGGGCGCGCACCAGGGGGCCCAACAATAATTATTCTTTAGAATAAATAATGTTCAACAACAACAACAACAACAACAACAACAACAACAACAACAACAACAATTACTAGCACGTGGGGACACACCGTTCTCACCAGTGCCAGGGTTTTCATAGGAGGCGGGCAATGCCCCCACTTTGTGGGGGGGCCGGTTCAAGCTCTACCAAATTTCCAAACGACTCTTCGCCACCACCCACACCCAGCTTCCCGCCCTATGACGTTCGGACACTTCACTTCGTGGCATGCGGACGACCGTGGCTACTATTCAGGGCCCCGCGGCCGACGACGACGGCGTGCGCGCGCGAAGAAAAAACGAATGTGTCCCGCATGGTATTATTTGACAGGGATGATGGCCCTGGCAGGTGCGCAACCGTTGTTGCAGAAGTTCGAAAAAGCTGCTCGCAAAAGCCCGTTTGACAGAAATGTTTAAAAAGTGTTGGGTTTCCTACGAATCCGCAAGAGCGCGCGGGATGAAATTTTGACATTTTTTGTTGAAAAACCATTGGTTTTTTGATGTTTTTATGTTAAAATCGCTACGAAACTAAGGTTTTGGAAGGATTTCGTCTTGCGCGCGCGAATGTCCACTTTACCTTATTTTTTGCAAGGGATTCTTGAAGTTTGGTTATGTTAGAACAAGAAATGTCCACTTTAGCTTATTTTTTGCAAGGGAAAACCGATCGTAACAACACAACCGGATCCGGACCAACCCGTTTTGCCTGAGACTTCCTCACGAAAATGATGAAAATGAGGCTGCGGCCTAGGCGCGGCGGGGGGGTCGTGCACCAGGGGTCCCAACAAAAATTATTCTTTAGAAGGAATAATGTTCAACAACAACAACAACAACATCAACAACAACAACAACAGCAGCAACAACAACAATCAGATTAGGAATGTTCGCTCTTATCTGCTCGCGCGTACCCCACCACGTATATCCCAAACAGAATTGCGGACAAGAGAAGCAGCAATGGGGCCACGAAGGGCAGCAATGGGGCCACTGAGGGCACAAGCTA